TCCTGCCGTAAGTACGGGCCATCTGGCAACGCTGCTGGGCTACACCAACTAAACTTGTCATGAGTACCGCAAGACATCAGACGCAAGACAGGGTTCGGCGAATGAAAGTTGCCGTTTCATCACATCGCCCCGACCGACCGCGCGTCTCTTATATGAGTATTTCTTTGAATTATAAGAGCAAATGTACGGGGAAATCCCCGATACGTAAAAGTCAGACGCGTATGAATACACAGCCGTCAGCAGAATGCTGGCTTCATCGACAACTCCCGACCTCCTATTTGTCACGTGCCAAAGTAACGTAACCTTTTTTTTTACTATTTTGATCATTTATCAGTAATTTGAATTTCTATTTATTAATAGTAGAGTGCTCATTCCTAAGCCAAACCCTTTTTAACGATTTATTTTGGCAAATTTCATAGTTTATTGATTGTATAATTTCACTCGTATTATATCGTTCTTTCTCAGCAACTCAGTATTGTGATGAAATCTTTTGGACACTAATGGTATAGTATTATTAAGGACTATCTCAAAAATTTACTCATAAAACATCGTTGGTCCCTCGTAGGGAGTTGGTTCTGCACTGTCGGCAACCAGCGCGCCAGCTTGTGATTTATACACGTACTCACTAGCCGCATAAGAATATTTGCTTTCCTATCAATATACCTTCTGTTAAAATTTGATTTACTATCAAGATACCTTGTTTTAGAGGTTGCGTGCGCAGGTGGTCCAGCGCAATTTTCTTTTTCTTTCTGCTGTGGTTTTGGTCGTGTGTGTCGTTTCATTAATTTCCAAATTCTGAGATTTTAGACTCCCAAACATCAGTTTATGGAGTGGTTCCCTTTTATTTTGTACCTCACGTTTAGTTGTTTTGGTTTGGGTAATACCCTGTCCATTTTCAAACGGGATCCTTCAGCGGTTAAGTTATTTTTTGTATACCATTGGTCCACGTCCATTAATGCACGACCTGTAGAAGCTTGCTCAATATCTGCTTCCTTTTAGTGGAAAGGTATTTCGGAGAACCACCATTCAGACTCTTCCAGCTTTGTTTTGTAGCTGCCTCGTAGCTGTTTTGCAGCCGATCTTGTTGGAAGCTAACCCATACTCTTGATAAAAAACCCTGATGTGAACAGGTAAAGTATCATTTTAATTGAGTATTTTATAAATATTATCCCTTAATCGCCGTAGTGCGGTCACTGAGACCGCAGGACATATTTATTGCTATATATCTTACCCCTACTTCAATATAATTAGGCAATATCCTCGCTACCTTAAAATGACCACGTGGTCAGTTTGTCGCTAAAAGTTGAAGGTGGCACCTTTATCGGTTTACAATAGAAAAACCAGTTTACGGTGTCTATGTTAGTATCTATTAAGATTTTTGTACAGTCAGTGTAATTGCCTGTCAACTTTGTGGATTATGTTTGGCAGCACAGATCCTCAAGAATGAATTGGAATTATACTACATTGTCTTCCAATAGGGATGATAGGATTTTGACAGCATATCGCCACCGTCTGAGTTGTCTATTTTCTGACAGCTCAGTTATTTTGTGTCCAGTAAGGCAGTTTGGAAATCGTCTACAGTATATTCAGATAAGAGATAGACCGGACATAAACAAGACCACGTGTTCATCAAACGCTGTCACATTCGGCAGGGACGTATTAAGAGTCACGCAGTACATATTTTAGATAGTAGATGCTGCTTTGCGTAACTTTGTAGTAAATTAGCACAATTCGATGTGTATACGATTGGTGATGGATGTAGGATCATGTGGGGGTGGGGTAAGAAATATATAATGATGTGTATTTTTTTATTCCTTCCAAGTTATCGCTCAAACTAAGTTATGTCTCAATGGACAGTTTATTCATATTTAAGAATCTGTTACCAATTCAGCATAGAATAATGTGTTTTGTTTTATAGCTAACTAAGATAAGAAATTTGTGTAAAAGTATGTCGAAATGAATGATGTTCGATATTTTTATTTTTTTAAATGAAGTTTATTAAAAATTATATGTAATGTGTTGCTTCAGGCCTCGTTCTACTCTACTTGAATATTTACAACACGCAAAATATTTTATTTGTTGTAGTTGAAATTGTTAGTAATGTGTGGTCACTGAGACCACACTACGTTAATGACTACGGTAGTGAAAGGCTAATATACAGGGTGTCCGCAAAGTTGAGGTTTTCCTTTTCAGAAACAACTACCCTTGAAATAACAAAGGTGATGTGTAGTGAAACGAGGGCGACCAAGTAAAAAAAAATAAAGGAAAAAGTACTCACTCTCCAGTTGACGAGAAGGGCTAAGTACGTCTCTGCCCGAAATCATATCGCTCCAACAGCTGATGCGCTACCGAGCAGACGCAGGCAAACAAGGAATTCAAAATGTTGCGTAAAACGTCTAGGTATTGCATCCCGTCCAATCGATTTGGCAGAATAGATGGTCCAATGAGCATACCGTTCACCATGCCAGCCCAAACATTCACCGAAAATGTTTGTTGAAAATGTGCCCGACGGACAGCGTGCGGATTTTCTGCTGACCAAATATGAGTGTTGCGAAAGTTATTCACTCCATTACGCGTGAACGTAGATTCGTCTGTCACCAATATGCACTTCAAAAAGTCCGGATTATTGTCATGTTGATGCAACAACCACTCACAAAATCGCACTCTTGCTGCAAAATCGTCAGGTTGAAGGGCTCGTACAGGTTGGACGTGAAACGGATACAACCCCTCTTCACGCAGCGTTTGCCACACTTTAGTTTTTGATACTTGCACTTCTCTAGCCACGTCTCTAGTGCTGGTTGAGGGATTCTCGTCTACGCGATTACCTCTAGACGCGTGACCGTAACCGTCGGTTGAAGGTTGCATACAGACCTGACACACTGATACCCCGACCCAGTTCTGTCGGTGGATTGAGCTAGTGTCCTGGTACCAGTTGGGGATGTCGCGGCTACAGGACGGTATTCAGATATTTTTGATGTTGCTGAGCCCTTTATCTCGGTTCCCTTAAGACATTGGTGTATATGGTACTAAGAAAAATTGCTTATGTTTTCAAGATCTACACGTCGTGTAAAGGAAAACCCCAACTTTGCGGACACTCTGTATTGATACCTACATGTCATCGTCTTTTGGGCTAACTACATTACATGGATCATGATTTTGGATTTTGAGCTGCCATAACTTATTCTAGAACAAGGGATAACTTTTTGAAGGTATGTCACTTTGGTACACTTTTATCTCTTCTAATCTCTGCTTTACTGTTCTTGTGAAAGAGAATCTACATGGATTTTTCTTCAAGTTTTCAGTGTTTCAAATGATTAGTTCTGTCTCAGACAGAGAATAGAGAGTAGATTTTTAAACGGTCTTTCTCTCTCGAGGGTTTTTTTACCGTAAATTTTAGGAACGAGGCAGGTAGCCCATACCTTGTTACGTTCCTCACGTCACTGCTCACTACTGGTCACTATTTTTTTTACCTGAGCATTTGCGAGCTGAGGACATCTCAGCTGCGCCTAGAGCCATAACTGGAAGAAGCCCATTATCCAGATAAGTTTAGGTGTAGGCGTTAAAATATTTATAAAGCCTATATTTGTAAAGCCTTCGTACGTGTACCGGGGTTAACGTTATTAGGTAGTTTTGAATAATATCATTTCTTTTAACTTGCACTCCAGTGGTGGAGCATTTGTTCTGCTTGTTTTGATAATGTATTGTGATTTTTTTTAAATACCTTATTGCATTTGGCTCTCTGTATACAATTAATTAGGTTCCATAATTACTGTTAGATTCTTTTCTTTGTTTGGTGGTCAGTCCAAACAAGTTCCGACTAACATCTCGGGGATTTGTGCCTTAATCCGTCTTGAGTCACTGGCGCTCTTAACTACTCCCCTACTCTTCGCCTTATCGAGCTAGGTCCTAAATTTGCACGCCACTTTACAGCTCTTTTGCATTGACTTACCCTTAGATTGAATTTATAGTAATTTATTAATTCATTAATTAATTTAAAAAAAGTAGGAAGGAGGAACTACAGCACCATCTTCTCTTGTTTATAAAAAAAGTGGCATATTCTCAACCCCTACAAAAATGTCTCTGAAAATGATCACGAGTCTCTGAAACGACAAGGACGAAGTTTCGGCAATTTTATTTTTTCTAGTATTTTGCCCCTAGCTCCGCCTTCACTGAGACGACTTCGGAAAACTGCAAAGTTATTTAGTCCTTGGCATAGCAGTAACCTTGTGTGAAAGTCTTATCCAACTCCAAGCAGTACTTCTCAAGTTATAGGTGGTTAAAAAATTAGCGCACAGACCGATAGACAAACTGACAGAAACGAGTGACGGCGTAATGTACATTTCATATAACATCCAAAAAGCATATCGTCGGCAGTCTGACAATACCTGCTAACTGACATTTTTTTGAAAATGAGTTTTTTATGTAGTTGACTTCATAAATTAACGGCACATCATATGAAATAATCTGCCAACTACAGATAATTCATTTGTTTACTCTATTGCCGCGAAACAATAGCTGCGATCTTCCCCGTCTACTATTAGCTGACGCAATACCTGCTAACGTTCAGTTGCATTCGTAAATTTGTAGGTTATTAACCACGTGTTGGCGCGCACCGCTTAATGTGTTTTTCTCCGAATAACCAGCCAAGACTCCAGAAGTTTTCAAATAAGGGTAAGAATAAGTTTTACTTTATATGCATAATTATATTTTTGAACAAACAACTCATCAAAGCAATTAAAATCAACGTTTTGTAATAAAGCGCAGATAGCAGTCATTGCAATTATATTATTTCTGTATAAGGAGGAACTTAGCACGTTCTGTTTCTATTGATATTGTAAACTGTTATACACTGGAAAACACAAAAGTAGTGCTTTTTACCTGTTGATAAGCATAATTATATTATTTTTATGATGTTTATGTCATCTAGGTGAACAAATGCAGCTCACAGGTATGGTGCTTGTGCGGAATAAACACAAAATTATATTTTGCTTTTAGGAAAAATGGCGTCCCGAGCACAAAAAATCTTAAATCTAGTGAGAGAACAAGAAAAAAATAAATCAGCTCTCGAAGAACTTGATAATACAGTACAAACTGATTCCCAAACAGTTGTACCAGCAGTACCAAGCACCTTACCAGAAAGATATGATGAACACATAAGCACCTTTAACGGATTTGATATCAACAGTATGGAGATCGTATTGGCTGATGATGTCCTTGAAATAGATGAAGCTGAGTTCAATCTTCCGCCAGCTGAGCTAGGAATAAATGTTTGTGGTTTAGAGGATAAAGACTTAGATCTTCGCCATCGTGATCAAGATCAGCCAACCGCTGGAAGTCATGGCAATTTTAGTAGCAGTAGTAATGAAAGCGATCTTGACAGTGATTCCGTTCCAGATAATGTCTATGCTGTAGAGGATGATAGCTTCGATGATAATGCTATCGAAAGTGATAAAGAAAATAGCGCAGCTGAAAATCATCCTGAAGGACAGCCGACTGTCAATGATCATCAAAAACTTAATAATGAGACTAATTGGGGTGACACGAATGAAGGACGAAAAATAAAAATTACAGCAGACAAAGATGAATGGAAAAGGAATAAAAGCAAATTACTAAGAATGAAAGGGGAGGATTACCTTGGATTTTCGCGTGACAAGGACAAAAACTTAAAACATAATACTCCTCGCCCAGCGAGGAAACTGGGAATGGCATGTGTTTCAAAAATGTGTTTAAAATCAAATAAGATGTTTTGTAATACTTTCACCGAAGATATACGAAAATAAATGTTTTCCCGTTTTTGGAAAAAAATGACGTGGGATCAAAGAAAGCTTTTTGTTTCTGGACATGTCAGCCTCCAGCCTCCATCTAGGAAAACAACTGAAAATGGAAGCAGTAGACGAGAAAATACCATGACATACAAACTACATAATGGTACAGAATTGGTTCAAGTCTGTCGCAAAGCATTTCTCAATACTACAGGGCTAGGAAGATTCACAGTGGAAAGTTGGAAAAAAGAGAGTGTATACGATATGAACGAGTCTAAGGAAGAATTTAATAAACAGCGAAAGAATAGGAATAATAGGGTACGTGCTTTCGAGGACAGTAAAGCTTTCCTGAATTTATTTTTAGATGACCTTCCGAAACAGCCATCTCACTATGTGAGAAAGGATACCAGTAAATTTTATTTAGAGCAACATTTCGTTACTCTGAAGTAATTGCATAATTTTTATAGAGAGGTTTGTGATGAGAAAAACAAGCATTGCCTGGGTATAAAGGTGTTTAAGCAGATATTTAAAAAGAAAAATCTTAGTTTGTTTTCACCAAAGAAAGATAGATGTGACATTTGCATAGAGCAGGAAAATGGTAACATTGATAGTAGTATTTGGAGTAAACATACTGAAGACAAAGAAAAAGCTAGAAAAGAAAAAAACCGAGATAAGTAGAAAGCTGTGAAAGGCGAGTGCATTGTAATTTGCATGGATCTGCAAGCTGTAAAAGTTGCTCCATTGGTGAATGCAACAAAGATTTATTTTAAAACAAAGCTAAGCTGCCACAATTTCACCATATATAATATTGTATGTCACCAAGCCACGTGCTATTGGTTTACCGAGGTCGACTCTGGACTGCAGGCGTCGACTTTCGTTTCATGTTTGCTGGATTATTTAAACAGGCATTGCCTACAACACAATTTGCCAATAATTATTTACTCAGACGGGTGCACATTTCAGAACAGGAACAACATTATGTCAAACGCCTTACTGAATATTGCTATCATGCACAAAGTTACTATTATTCAAAGGTATCTCACGAAAGGCCATACACAGATGGAATGCGGCTCAGTGCATAGTTGCATAGAAAGAAGGTTGAAAAACAGGATAATCAAGCTACCCAGTGATTATGTAACAGCGTCTTTAGAAGCTAGAAAAAACCATTCCCATACGAAGTGATCCAGCTGGAGCACACTTTTTTCAAAGATTATAGTAAAACAGAGCTCCTTCGTTATTCGACAATCAGACCCGGCAGAGAGAACCTTGTGACCGACATCAAAGCGCTATGCTATGATCCCTGCGGTGAACTGAAAGTGAAGCTTGATTTCGATAACGATTTCAAAAGTCTTCAGAGTAGACTGAAACAAATCGCTGTGAGTTCAAACTGCCCTAGCCTTTACAGCGATAGATTGGAAATAACAGACTAAATGGAAGCATCTACAATACTTGAAGAGCGTTATTTCCAAAGATTGCCATACATTTTATGACCTTCTTCCATACAAAAAATATAAAACTGCCGAAAACACTACTGAGTCCGATGCTTTGGATGGAAAACAAAAACCGAAGAAATGCAAGAAATGAAGTTGTACTTAACTATCTAAAATATGTTCTTTATTTTCTAAAACTATTATTATACCTATGATATTGTCCTTCTTTAGTTAATAAAGTTTCTTTATAGCAATTGCTGCTAAGTCGATAAGTTACACCGTAACAATATCTGCTATGTGATTTTTAAGGAAAGTCCAATCATATTTTAACAAAATTAGTTTATCCTGCTCACAGTAACAATAGAATTATAATAAAGTTGATATTTCACGTACAACGGCCACCATACCAGACCCTTGATGTGTTTTTTCATTCTCCTGTAAAATCATCCTATTTTGCACTTAGCAGGTCTTGTCAGACTGCCGACGATATATCGCTTTCGAAATTTTTCGTCTGTAACTGTAGAAAAAAACAATGCCTTTCAGACACTCTTGCTGTGCGGTTTCCTTATAAAATCTCCCATTTAACGTCTCTTACTTGTTTTAAAAACTCACCTCATCGTACTCGCTTACACGTCCTCTGCCCCAGACCGCCCCTGTTTCCGCCTTCAGGGAAAGAATTAAATAACAATGCCCCCTTCATTCCAGACGACGCTCTACTTTAAATAATTCCTTAAATGTAGATTTATGTGGGTGCGATTAGCATCCAGATGATGATTTATTATTGTTTTATCCTCACTCCCTCCGTTTGGTGTTGTCAAAAGCAGTCGCCGTCAGCGAATAAGATACCATGTATAAATTGGCAAAAAGATGAGCTGTGCCTCATGTAGGAGGGGATTTGTATGTTCTCGACGACGACTAAAAACGGCACGAGCTGTTGTGCGCTACTAATCCTTGGCTGTCAAATGGAAACGGCCTCTTGGGGTCCTGCTGGGGGTTCCCGGGGACAAGCTCGTAGAAATTAGAAGCATCAACTATTTTATGATCTATGTAGGTATTGCATTCCTGCTAAAAGGTACAAAACATGAGCGCCAAGGCGCATTCTACAGTGTGACCAATATACAGGGTGTTTCAGTTTATTGTTGCATATCTTTAAGATTCGATAGAACTTTTAAAATTAATGCATAAAGTCTATATAAAAATGGGTCAAAAAATGCGTGGCTTCCGAAATACAGGGTGTTTGAATTTACTTTTTAAAATAGTTTTTTTTAAAATAAAAAATGATTCTTCGCACTTTTCAACATAAAAAAGCTCTCTTGTGAATTTTCGTTATAGTTAGCCGTTTTTGAGATATTTCGATTTTTAAGGTTCGATGCATTTTTAATTATTTATGAAAATAACGTTAAAAAGTCAGTATCTCGATAATTTTTAGTAGTAGGCTGTGCCTGCAAATATTTTTGAAATTGAAAGCAGAATAAGGTTAAATGTCAATTAGTTGTCTGTTGAAACCTGAAACGTTTTTTTTGCAATTGTGAATGCACGAAATTTAGTTTCCTTTACCCGTTTTTTTTTGTAAGTTTTATAAAAATGCCATTTTTATTCTCCAATCAAGAGTTAGCGGATAATCATTTTGTGTATGGCTTTGTAAATGGAAACGCAGCAGAAGCAGCCAGAGAATACGCACGAAGATTTCCAAACAGACGACATCCAACTCGCTCAGTATTTGTGAGAGTGCATCGCCAAGTAATTGAAAATGGTTTTGGAAATCTCCAAAGGGATCAAAACATAAATGTTCGTCAGCGCAGATTTACCCGTATGATTCTGCGTGAGTTTGATAGAGATCCGACCACAAGTGTTAGGAGAGTTTCTGGTGCCTTGGGAATTTCAGCAAGCCATGTTCACCGTGTTCTTAGAAATGACCATAGACGTCCTAACCATTTGCAACCTGTGCAAGGACTACAGTCAGGGGACGGAGAACGAAGAATCACATTTTGTCAGTGGAATCTTGATAGAACTGATAAAATAGGGAGTTTTTAAGTAACGTTTTATGGACCGATGAGTCATGCTTCACTAGACGTGGTGTGGTCAATTTTCATAATCAACATATTTGGTCGCATGAAAATCCGCATGCAGTTCGGGAAAGAAATGTTCAGCATGAATTTAGTGTGAACGTGTGGATTGGTATCTACCGTAATCGACTATTTGGACCCTACCTTTTGCCTGCAAGGTTAAATGCGGCGACCTTTTTGGAATTTTTAAAGGCTGAACATGCAAATATGTGGGATGATGTTATGTTAGATTTAAGAAGATTGGCCTGGTTCCAGCTTGATGGTTGTCCAGCTCATTATTCGAGAATAGTTAGAAACTGGCTGGACGAAAATTATCCAGAAAGATGGATCGGCCGTGGAGGGCCAGTCGCCTGGCCTGCACGATCCCCTGACCTAAATCCATTAGATTTCTTTGTGTGGGGATTTCTAAAAGAAAAAGTGTACCAGACTCCCGAAACCACAAGAGATATGCTAATAGACAGAATCAGGAATGCATGTGATGAAATAAGGCCTTATTTGAATAATGCTATACCACGTTCGATCATTCGTAGATGTGAATTGTGTATTGAACAATTGGGTTTACATTTCGAGCAACTACTTTAGATTTTGTATGACTGTCTAACTATCCAATAGCATTTTAGTTGTAAATAACTAATTTAATTTGTTAAAAATAATATTGGAAAATTAAACAAATTAATATTCTGTTTTTTTTTTGTGTTTATTTGGAGTTAGGAATTATTGCTGTGTTTAAAAACACAATCTAAACGATCATCTTAATTGTAATGACCAAATCGAAAATGTAAAAAAAAATATTATTTTCCCATAAATAATTAAAAATGCATCGAACCTTAAAAATCGAAATACCTCAAAAACGGCTAACTATAACGAAAACTCACAGGAGAGCTTTTAATGCAGAAAAGTGCGAAGAATCAGTTTTTTATTCAAAAAGCAAAAATAGTGCAATTTTTCGGTCATTTCATACACTACAGGTACTGTAGAGAGCGCCCTCTAGCGGATACAGTAAAACTATGCCCATGGTTCGTTTTGTCGTACCAACAAACACTTGTATACGAATTTTCACTGTTATTCATCACATATTGTTCGAAATATTTAAAAAAAAACTATTTTAAAAAGTAAATTTAAACACCCTGTATTTCGGAAGCCACGCATTTTTCGACTCATGTTTATATAGACTTTATGCATTAATTTTAAAAGTGCTATCGAATCTTAAAGTTATGCAACAATAAACTGAAGCACCCTGTATAACTGAGTGATTTAAATTGCGCCCCATTTTTGATACACGCATTTCGGTAGGTGGCGCTGTAGTAACGGGTGTTTTTTTTTCGAGGTATAGAACTTTAAGTTGGCATTACTTTTGAAGACCGATTTGACAGCTGTCAACTGATTTATTCTCAGTTTGGTTTGGCAATTCATCATGAATAGACTCACGCCTGAACAACGCTTGCAAATTGTGTAGTTTTATTTCGAAAATAATGGTTCTGTGCGGAATACGTATCGCGCACTACGTTCATTTGATCGTCGA